AAATTTTAATAAGTCGATTTTCGACTAACAAGCGGTCTCGGTTTTCACTTTACTTTCGGAACATACCCTTACTTTTTAATTTCCCTTTCAACAAACCATCACCAAAAATCTGAATACCCTTTATTTAGGGTATTGAAAAATTAAGCTATATATGCACTGTTGCTGGGCTGCGCTCTGGTCTCGTCTGCCTTTTAAGTAATATGGAAAAGTTGAAATGAATTTTTCATGGGCTAGAAAACTCAATTGCAACACTTACACAACGCATTCGCATACAAACACATACACACACCCATGCACACACATGCACACATAGACATACATAAATACATGTATGCATTATGTAATTTGTGTATATGAAAAACATTTGCGCCTACAAGTAGGCAATAGATGTACAAGTAGAACCAACTGCTTGTTTGTGCACATGTTGATTTTCACTCAATGCGTTAACGTTGGTTGCCTTTTAGTCTCCTCTGCATATTCTCATTATTTTATATACCCTATAATCGAGCTCTGAAAATGTATTACAGCATTTGCCCACATATAATGATAATTTCCATACTGGCAGCATAATTAAAATAAGTTTTCCATTTCAAGTAGTAAATAATATTTAAACGGAATACATCCGTGCCTGATTAATTACCTTTAAGCAACCAACAGTAAATTAATAAATTAATTTAAAAAGATTTCCTAAATTCGAAAATTAAAGTATATTCGACGCAGAAATTTGAAAAGTGTTTGAATAATAATCTTTCTTTGAATAAAAATCGTTAAGTTAGTGTATATATATTAATATATTTGGATAGTGTGTATTAAGGTCGTTATTTGATCATTTGCTTATCTTTTCAGTTTTCGATATGAAAACATGTCCTCAGGTCGTATGTGTAGCACGTTGCGTATGAGTGCGGCTCCATGTTTGTGTGTGTAAATGTGCATATGAAGTAAGGTAAACATTGTTCATGATGGCAACGACGAGTAGTGGTAGGGGCAAGGGTAGTTGTAGAGGCGGCCGCGGCTGGTAGGGGACATCGGCTCAGCTGGCGTGAAATGTGACATAACAAAAAGCTTCAAGCTGCGTAGCATCATAATGCTAATGATATTTACGTTAAAGAATGACAACGGGGTGCGGCAGGCAGCAGCAGCTGTTGTGAATTTACATGATGGAAAACTCTTTAGAAATACATTAACCAAGTTGCGTAGCTTGTGGGCCACTTGATATTTCTTACTCTTTTTCTTTTGTGTACTTTTTCCATACCATTTTACAGTCAACTGGTCAATATGTTTAAAAACAAAAAGAAAGAAAAATTATTGAATACTCTATAAACCTTTTTTCAGGGAATATTCGAGCAAAGCCTGGTTATCGCTGCTAATAATGTAAATCACATTAGAATTCGATACATTTCGTATAGTGCAAAGTAACAGGATTAACTTATTCAACAAATTTAATTGTCCATTATTTTATGAGCTTTGCTTTTTATGCTTTGTAGTCTAATACAATGAAATATATAAATTGAGCTTCAATTTAATTTCCAAATGCTCGAATGCTGTTTGAATGACCGCTGAATATGCTCGTAAGTCCATGCAATTCATATTGCAAATTAAATAGCCAAACCAAAAACAGGCCATAGTTAAATAACAGATTAAAATTAAATATGCCCACCAAGGCAGCAGCCACATGAGCAGAGAAAACAACAAGAATGCCAGCCCAAATGTGGCAACAATACAAATAACAATAATTGACAGCTCATTTGATTTGAATCATTTGAAAATAGTGTTTAAAACCCATTCATGCAACACGTCCATTCATCCGAGAGTCAGAGAGCCGTGAAATATGCAACGCATTTGTGAAATCAACATTTTCATCATATTATAATACACTTTACACATGCTGCAATTGTCTGTCGTAAGCTAAATATTAAATATACTTATTTACGATAATTATAGCTTAATAATTGCGTTATCACAGATATCAGCAAATAAGAGTGAAACAGTGCAGATAAAAATATTGCCCTGTTAGTGAATGTGATATGCAAATATATATTTGGACCTAAACTGAATATCATCCTTTGAGCTACCCTCGTTTCTTTTAGTCAAGTTACAGTGTATTTTCTAAGCTACTAAAATTTAACTTTAAAGATGATAAACTCTTTATTTGGTTATGAGGTATCCCCTAAACAAGCATTTTAAATTTACCAAATTATGAGTTTTATATATTCAAATAAATATGTAAATATGCCAGTGGTAAATGCCTAGTTGAAGAGCAACGATCCAATTGCGAGGCATCTTCCAGTCAAGCAGTAAGTAAAAGTACTTTATTAGAAGATACAGTTAGAAAAATGTTTATATATTTCATTCAATATCTGTTGGGTAATATATTTTTTTGTCTCTAGTATAAACATTACGAAAATATTCTGTGTTCATGACTCAATAGCTTTTTTTTTTGAACGTTGGGGCTTATATTTATATTTAGAAATTCAAATAGGGAAATTTGCCCGTGTCAAGTGGTTTTCCCGTGATACAAATATAATTAATCAAAATAGTTGTCGTACTTCCACTTAAATTTCCACTTTCACGTCTCAATTAAAATATTTGCAATAATTGTTGGTGTTTGAAAATTTCTTTTATTTTTAATGAAAAAGTTTCGCATATTAATATTTCGTTTAGTTCCCGACCTGACGCATAAAGTTTCCCAAAACTTGTTAAAAGCGTGCACCTTAATTTTAATAGATATATTTTAATTGTACGTGCCAACTTGACTTGAAGTCAAGTTTTACTGTGTAAAAAGCCCACTTGGGAATTATTGCAGAATTTTAGAAACATATTTTAACAGCTAAACCAGTCACAGCATTTAATGCTGGGATCGCAGTTTTAGTATCCATATTAGTTAAAAGGCACACACAAAAACGTTTGCATGTGATTGCAGTGACACTTGACACACACTTGACGCCTGTAATTAAATCATTATTAAGTTCGAGTGGTCCGTAAGACTCAACTGAATCTATGAGACCCCAGCACTTAGCTTAGTGTTTTGGAGTTGGCTGGGCGTCTCCAATCGTGATGATATGGGGGGCGTCACAATTATCAGCGATGAGCTGGCGACACTTGACGATAACATGACGCCCGACATAAGCCGGCCCACTGGGGGCGATAAAATTTTGTTGCCTAGTGTAATGCTTAACGATTGTGTTCATTGACTGGCTAACGATTTTGTTGAATAGGCTAATGTGCCAGCCGCGCAACGAGTGAATTGCTGATGGGTTGTGCGTGTGTATGATTGCCTGAGTGTATGAATGTGTTTCTGCGTGTGTACGCGTGTCTGTGTGTGTGCGGTTGCGTGGGTGCGTGTGTGCGTGGGTGCGTGTGTGCTGCGGCATATCATGCTTAGCGAGCAATATTCTTGATAGCACACATCGCCCATTGAATCGTCATGAATCAAAAACAGCAGCTCGGCCTCCTGTGCGTGATTTGATAAACAATTGTTTTACGGCTGCTCAACAATTGGCCAAAATGATTGACCAAACTATGGTGCAGGGTGTGTGGTCAGTGTTGTGTGGTTACCAGCACTTTTTTAAGGGGCGTTTCCATTTAGTGGGAGTATATGTGTACACCTCTAGCCGTTTCTTTATACTTATAAGGTTTTAAAATAAAAAAAAAGTTTAATACACATATTACGTACTTTTGTCTATCTCTCTCTTTCTCTCTCTCTCTCTCTCTCTCTCTCTATATATATATGTATATATATATATATATATATGTATAAAAATGTCCTTGACAAATTGCTATGTTCGTAAATAAGAATTATATTTTTTTATAATAAACGGATAGGTTTACATTGGGTATATAGTTATACACTTTGCCATAGTCTTAAGCCTATGTCGGTTATAAAAACTATTCTTTATAAAAACTCTTCGTACGACTTGCTAACTTTTTCTAGATTTGAGTATATCATATTAATGAGAACTAAAATTATTTAACTCAATTTAATAAGTAATTTATAATATTTAATATGTTGACGAGAAATCGTATGTTTAGTAAGTTAAAATAAGTTGTAAAGGGGGTAGCGGAAGACTGCGCAGCGGATTTGCGCCAAACCGTTTCAAACCCTAATTTTCAATATGCAACTTAATATGAACCAAAACTTAATTGTAACAATTTCAATCGTACCATATTTCTTTTAAAATGGTTTGGTTGAATACAACAAATATTTTAGGCATCCAGCAAAAATACCTTAAACCTCAACTAATGCATTTGTGTAATTCTAGATATAGACCAACTATTGGTAGATGTGAAGTTTAGTGAAAAACTTGAAATATATTCAGTTCGGTTCAATTGCAAACTGCAATTATAAATTCAAAATTAAAGCGTTTAATTTAGTTTTTTTTTTTTTTAAATAAATGTTTAAAGGCGCAATGCAAAAGTCTGCTTCATAGATGCAAAGATTGAAGTTCTCAAAACGAGGTATAAATTATTGGCACCTAAGAAATGATTGGCTCTTGTTCTTTTAGTAACTGAAAAATATATTTATATTCTATTGTTTTATTAAAGACAACTTAATACTTACATGTGAATATTTCTATTATATTTTCGCACTAAAGATCTAGTCAGTTATACATGGTATATATACTACTACCAGAGTCCACTCATTTTGTTTCGGTAGCTTTCAGTAGCGTCAGGTACTGTAAACACCTACGTTGATGACGCGCAATTTTCCATAGAGCTAGCTCACTACGAGTTATCAGGCCGGAATTTCCATAAAAAACTTTTTGTACATTTTATCAACTCGATGCTATATATAAAAGCGCAAGCCGCCAACGGTTTAGTATTATAAAATAGACCGGGAGACTGCGAGACAAGTGCACAGAAGAACAAAACATATTCTGTTGTCGAAAAGCAACAAAAAATAAAACTTAACAATAAAAATAACAATTTTTTATAAATTACAAGTGAAGTGCAAGAAGTGAAAAGAAATTTAAAGTAACAAAGATATATAAAAATAAAATAAAATGCCGAATGTTGCTGCCTTAAAGCTGGGGCCCAGTTTTCCCTTTAATCAAGTGTCCTGGCCACCGAACGGCCTCCAGATGCTGGACCATTTGGCGCTGCAACAACAAATCAATGCAAATTTCATCTTACACGCGATTACCAACTATAAGAAATCACCGTTCGAGCGCAAGACTCTGGACTTTATTGACAAAAAGTGGCTGGCACTGCTTGGGCTGTGGCGCGAGTTCCGGTGTCGGGACAGGCAAATACGACGTGACTACATGAATGTCGAGCCGCAGCACGGATACTTTCAGCAGGAGCTGTACGCGCTCATTCATGAGAAATATATGGCGGCCCGCAGTCGCATGAGTCGCGACAAAAGAAATCTGCTCAAGTGCAAAGCTTCCCAGGCGTAGCATGTTTACCGAGGCCAAGGAGCGGAAGTGAAGGAACAATAGAACAGCCAACAGAGAGTGAGAACACGCCAAGGATATGACCACAAGATATCCTGGATTCAATTACGTGGCGATACTCAAATCGTACTCTAGCTTGTCGATATGGCTTTGTGGAATTTAATTAATATATCATTTATATTTAACATTTTAGTATATTAGAATTAAAATCAAAATGGGCTCGAAACATTTATAAGTTAGTGTAGTTTTATGACACTCAGATAAGATAAATAATAATAAAAAAAATTCCTCTGTCCATAGCACAGTAAGTCGCGTTAGAGCTGTTTTTAAATTTAAATATACTACGTTAATTACTATTTATTTTAAAAATTGCTTACATCGGTGTTGTCACAGGTGTTCATATTTATTTTTCGAAATCCCTTATTGAAACTACTTTTGATAGTTTTACAGCACTAGTTGTCAGTGCTTTACATATAAGAAATATATAAATACACCTTATAAGTATTATCCAACCTTTCTGTAAAATAATTACTTTTATATTTAGGGAATATTTTAAAAAGCAAATGGAAAATATATTTCAACAACCCTTGTAAGACCTTTATTATACAGGGTATCGCAAGCGTGTGCTTTAAATATACATGTACTTATATATGCATATGTCTATCCATATCACAGATACGCGACCAAATATTGTTTAAGAACATCAAAAGCGCAATGGATAAATGATATGTTTGTGCTTTAAGCACCAGCAAAAGGATATATCATATCGCATATTTAAGAATTGTTTAATACACTTATCGTTAATCAATCAATCAGACGATTGTGCAATTTGATTGATGGCGCTGTCAGTTTCCATTTGTGTTTAAAGTTAAATTGGCTTATCATAATCGTATATTGCTGACTGTCTGATATGACATGCATATGTACTTAAATGCTGAGTGTGTGTGCACACTCAACATCCACGGCAACTGGCATAGACCTTGGCCAAAGGTCCTCAGTTGCACTCTAAGTAATGACATCGTAGGTGGAGAATTCGTATTGTCATTTGGCGTCTGAGGTGAAAGGAGACGCGCCCCACGAAGTGGGTCAACCAGCGAGGAAAGTGATTGGCATCAAAATGTTATTGCAATATTTTTAGCATTTCATATTAAAGTCGGGCAAGGTTTGACTCAGTAAATTATTTATTATTAATAAAAATAGTTTAACTAAAAATCATTTCTTACGATATAATGAATTGTTATACAACAATCCCAAAATAAACTATGAAATTAAAAAAATAATTGTTTTTTGATTATGTTGATAAAGCTCCATTTAATCAAAAATCGTCACGGAAAAATATATTTTTGATTGCGAATTTGATAAGCTGGCTACAAACAATTCATAACTGGATCGATTTATAACCGTCTCAATCGGGTTTGATTCCTCTCTTGTTAAAAATACTAGAAATCTTTTTCATAGTCAATTGAAAACTCATTCTTAATATAGAAATAAATGATATTACTTTTCAATAAATAAGATCAGAACTTGAGTTAAAACCGGTTTGACTTGATCGTATAGATATCGACCAACCCATTTTCGATTCAAGTGGATAAATTTGTGAGCACGCAATTGGGGAATACCTGAAATCACTTCAGACGCTTTTGGCTTTTGAGCTCTTTCACGTACGCGCCGATAAGATAGGGCAAGTGGTATATCAATATGCCGTTGTTTTGAGATAATTTCCAGTCTGCAGAGTCTTGGGAAAAGCCCCCTATCGGTAATTGCGGTTAATCAAAGTTCTTTAATTTTAGAAAAGGCCCCAGCATTAATTTATGCGCCTGTTAACTCACACTTAAGCTGTCCATTAAAAACAATTAATCATTGTAGGGTTTTTTATTTTGTTTTTTTTTTTCATATTTGTTTTTGGCCCGCAAAACAATCGTCTTAGCCAAATAATGTGCTAAACAGCTAGTAAAAGTGGCCACAAAACAAACTAATTTGATAATTTGTTTTAGCTGCCACAGTACCAGAAGCAATCGCCAAGTTCGCCTTGTTTGCCCATCTCTTCTGGTATTGGCTATTGACCACAGTTTTGTCTGTTCACTGAACCCCGAACCTGGCTTCTACCACAAAAAGGCCAACGAAATCGAGCGCAAGGCACTAAATTGAATGGGGACCACAAATTTATGGGGCAGCTGAACGGTTTTACTCGTTGGGATGAGATCCAAAGGAACTTCGAGGGTCCTTGCGCAGACAGAAACAAAAAGTTGCCATAATGAATGCCTCTATTTATTGTGAATGCCGCGAACTCCGAATAGGTTTCAATTAATAATTTCGTTCAAAGATTTACTGGTTAAAGCTGCAAAGCAGTAGACTTACTTTTTTATCCAATATTTGTATATATATGATATTTAAAAAAAAATTTTATTTTGCTTTTAATTCTATGAATATTTACTTAAACGATCAAATTTTCAGTTTTAAGGTCGTATTAATGTCGGCATACTTTTGGGCATTTCTGTTAAGTGTTAGAAATTCAGAATAGATAGATAGGGCAAAACAATTTTTGAGGGTATCCAGTAAAACCAAGCTAAAATACAAAATAAATAATTTGTCCACAGCTAAAAGTGTAAAAAAGTATAGCTATAAGTGTATAAATACTTTTTCATTGAAAATTTTTCAAAAAAGAAAAAAACATTTAAGCCTTACCGTTTTTATTTTGTTAGATGAATTTAGGATAATTTAGTTTAAAATGTTGTTATCTGGCATACCTTAGGATTTTTTAGATGAGCACTAGGCACGATAAATCAACTTGGCTTATCCTTGAGGTTATTCAATCCATCGATTTTCGGATCAAGCATTATTGCTAAGTGTACTTAGTTTGTCATTATTTTCATAAGCCCGAAATCCATACATTACCCAACGCCACGCTATTTACATGTTGTGGAGAGGAGAACCAATAAGCGTAAAATAAGAAATATATTTATGTAAAGCGAAAATGCGGTAGACGGGTCAAATTGAGCAACATAGTTGCATTTCAGGCCCTTAAAATAAAGGGTCTAAACCAAAATAATAAAAAAAAACAGGCAGTTTACTAAAATAAAATAACATATTTTAGAGCCGCGCGGCGCGTACTTTAAAAAGATTTATTAAGTCGCGCTGGCGAAGGTTTTTCGCTGCGTAGCCAGGCCAACATTTACACGCTGCTTGGCCGTGTCTTACCAAATGGCAAATAACAGCAGCCTAGATGTCGGACGGCTTTGGTGAGGTGGGGAAGATGGGGTGGGCTGTAAATATTTGTAACTTAACTCTTGCCGCCTTTGTTTGCGTTTTGTGTTGTGTTGCCTGTTTATTTTCGTGTTTTCCACACTTTTCCAACTCCCTGCCTTGATCTCTGCTGTTTTCCGTGTTTATTTTCCAGCTAATAAAAAGTTGATGGGCTGCCTGTTTTTCTGCTTTCTTTCTCTGACTGAAAATGAACCTAGGCAGACACTCGTCTGGTCTGCCAATAAACATTTGCACTATGTTTCGGAATCAAATTCAACTGGCAAATACCAAAAATTATATTAAAAGCAAAAACAAATAATTGCAAAAATCATTTGAGAGGCATTTGTAATCAAAAAGGCACCATCGGCGGGTGTTTTGTTGATTGTAAGTATTTAAGAATAAATTGTATATTAAAAACTATTGACTGCGATAAAAAATAAAAAAAAAACACAATTAAACTTTAAGAAAAACATAGCTTGAACGGTAATGAAGAATATTTATTGATATTTAATAATAATTATATTGAATACTAGGTTATTTGATGACCTTTTCTTTTTTAATCTTGCCGATTCTCATTAATGGGAAAAAATTTGAGGATATAAAATTGATTTAGCGAAATCAGGATTAAAAGCAAATTAAAACTGCGAGTAAAAGGCATTCTTTCCCCATTTTAACCTACCTTATAAGTGTCTAATTTTTACAATTTTTGGGTTTTTATACAATGGTTGTAATTTGGCATGGTAAAAATAACAGCTTCTGTTTATATAATATCCCTAATTCCTATCAGGGCTTAGCAACATCGTGGACCATCCCTGACAGCGTTTAATAAGGGACATTGACTGCACACAATTGCCAACACTTTGGCAACATTTTGTGGAGCGCTTTGTTTTTTGTATGTGTGTGTGTTTGTGTCATAAAAAGCAAATTTAATAAATATTTTTCGGCTTTCAACGGCAGTCGGAGCCGCTCCGCAGGCAGCCAAGACCAATCCGTTGAATCGACCCAGCGAGCATCATATAAAATTGATGCCCTGTCGTCTGCCCAAACAACCTGGCCTATAGTCCCAGATCGCCTGGCCAACGTGCCATGTCCCCTCCTTGCTCTAACCTAACTGTTGCCTGCCGGCTCTGCACAGTAAATAATGTAATAATCTGCCCGGGTCGTGGTCTCCCAGCGTCCCATAAACCGAAATTTATGCACAAAATTCAATTATGCTTAAAATGTGGTTAATAGGCCGACTGGCTGTGTAGGCGGCCTGGCAACAATGGCCACCCCTGGGAGGGGATCTCCCCTTGGATCCTATTCTAACATACATACCCGAACACACAAACACATGAGATTTTACAATACGTGCCACGCCCCCGCATTTCGCATTGAAATTAGATATTGTTATGTTGTAATTTAATAACAAATTAATCTGCTGTTCTTTTACGACCACGTTTTTATGCATTCCATGACAAAACAAAAACCATGAAAATAAAAAATCCTTTTCAAAAGTATTTTTTTATACGGCTTAACACTATCCACGTGATATGATCTACGCATTGTTGCTATATAAATTGTTCACGCACATGGATGGGACATAATTTTTTATGGTTTTAAAGAGTCTGCAGTTCAGTTAAGAGCCAACTCTTTTTATAGGGGTAGATTGCAAAAGAAACTTACAAAATAGCTATAAAAATATAAATTTATTTATTTATAAAAAAAATGTCAACTTATTTATTTAGCATCATAGAAGATATTTAAAACAAGTAAGAGTTTCTAGTCGGGAGCTCCCGACTAGGGGATAGCCTGAACCCTCTTCTTCCAACATCAAATGCATCTATATATTCTATTTCAGAAGCTGTATGTCAAGTTTGGTGACTCTAGCTCTTAATATTTACCAAAATTGCCCAAAAAACAGGATATAGAAATCGATTTTTTTCGATTGCGTGGAAACGGAGTAAGTTATCGATTATCGGAAAGAAACTCGATCTGCGCAGGCATTAGTAGCACCTACATCTAAAACTCTAGCTCTTATAGGTTCTGAGATCCTTGCGTTCATACATACGGACAGACGGACAGACAGACGGACAGACAGACGGACAGACAGACGGACAGACAGACAGACGGAGATGGCCAGATCGACTCGGCTATTGGTGCTGATCAAGAATATATATACTTTATGGGGTCGGAGATGCTTCCTTCTGCCTGTTACATACATTTGGATTTTGCACAAATACAATATACCCATATACCCATTTTTAATGGGTTCATTTATATTTTATATTTTGCAGAACAAGCTGTCTATAATTAATTAAATAGCCCAACTTTTTATTTAGAAAATATCTGAAATACCTCCTCTTCAATGCCTTATGAAAACAATAAGCCGATAATATGCAAACGATTCCATGCTTATTTACAGCTCATGGACTTATCGCTAAATTCATCCCAGATTTCTGCAAGGCTTTTTCCGCTTAACCACTTGACATTCCGCTCCTTCTGGCTCGCATTGCCCTTCTTAGAGGAACTTTGGCGCGTGCAACTAAGATGTCACACGAAACCGATAAGAAAGCAAATCCGCACACATGAGACACGACACAGAAACAAAACAAATACAAGAAATCCTTAAAGGGATGTGCGCGAGGCCAAAGGCAAAGCTCAGCTCAAACCTTGCAAAATGATTTTAAATGATATAAGAAATGGCAACCGGAATGGCATGCAACAACAACAGCTCAAGAACTCTTGGGTCCTGACTTGATCTTGTTAAGATAAAGTCGCCCTTTGCCCGTCTTGCAAATATTAACAAGAAGATGATATAGGAAATATGTTCATTGTGAATCTTGTAGTCCCTTGCGGAGCTAATAACTGGTGAGTTTTTAATTAAATAGTTTATATATATTAAGTATTTATATAGATTTTGTCTGATTATAATTATAACTATATTATTTAAAAGCAATCGATATTTTTTGGAAATTGAGTTTTTGATTGCCTTGTTCATTTATTATAATATTTTTTTTTTATAATCTTATTTTATATTTATTAATAAATTAAAAACTAATCTAAATTTTCTCACGAGTAGAAAATTGCTGCAAAACGATTAGCTTCAAAGTCATTTTCAGAGATATGTGTTTATGATATTTGTTATTTAAAATTCTGATTTAGATTTAATTTTAATTTTCTCAATGGCGAGTAATAGTTAAAATCAATTATAGATTATACAAGAACCTAATTTTTACATGGTAAATATAAATTATAAAATTATAAACTTACAATATTTACCAATATTTAGTAAAAGTTTTTTGAACATTAATATATATTTTTAAAGATTATCTTATAATAATTGAAGTTCTGTTTGTCTGTTTTCTAAGAAAACTATAAAATAATCATAACATAGTGCTTTTTTGATATCATTTTGCATATAGCTGTAACAAAATACTCTCAGCTCAATCGTTTTCTGGCTAGTGAAGAATTTTTGAATATCATCCTCTATTATTATGCAGTTTACTCGTGTAATAATTGCTATCGTGGATGCCGTTTTTTTGAAGAGTATCAAATTAAGTCACAACGTCTTGACTATTCTGGTAAATAGTAAATAAAAGTAAATAGTAAAAAACAAAATGGCAAACATAGACGCAGCGCCCGCAGCTTGTCTAGCCCACACACATTTATGTCTGTGTATACACATGTGTGTAGCCTTGGCCGGGCACCTGTCCCATGTACCATACGCACATGCATAACATACACACACACACACACACTTGCTGTGGCGCTTTTATTATAACGACAACCTGCGTCATTTTTTGCTTTGTGGGTGGGTGCTCGGTTTCTTTTCTGTTTTTCTCGAGCTGCGCGGTTTCTTCTGCTGCTGCTGCTTCTTCTGCTGTTTTTTTCTTTTTAATCTACTCGGAGATATTATTCCTGCTATGCTGGCGTCTTGTTGGGTTGTGCGGCGCCCGCTTTTCTATTTGTCACCCAGATAAGTGTTTTGTAGTTTTTTCCTTTGATATGCTCAGCCAGCGAGCTGGCAAAACCAAATCCAAATCTTAACTGCAGTGCGCTACGTGCCTCGTGCCCTCGGTGGCACCCACTCCCCCCTGTTCCTTAAAGCAGCCAAACTAACCAGCTGTCGTGTCATGTGTGTGTGTGTGCGTGAGTGTGTGCGCCTCTCCTTGCCCTGTCAATTCAAGCTGGAAGCTAGCTCGCACAGCTTGAAGTCAGTTCCATTCAACTGGCAACTGTCTTTAAGTCTTTCACTCCGCCAGCTCCGACGTGCGACGTCCTGCGAGTTAAGTGAGTTAAGACGCCGGCGAACAACTTCAAATCTGCAGTAATAGATATCAACAACTTTGAGCGCACAACTGCGAGTACTATCCACCTGCCCCCAATCCTTCCACCCACTGTCCAGAAGGAGTAGAGCTCTTGTGTGCTGCGGGTTTATAGATTGTTCCGCTTCGTTCTTTATTTTTTTCTTCTTCTGTGTGTTAAATTAAAAATGAACTTTGGCAGCTGAAATTCATGGTCATGTTCACTTTTTGCCACAATTCTTTACTTGGTCAGCTCAACTGGTCGACGTTTATCTTCTGGGGCGCCCTCGACTCTCAGCCCAACCCTGGCGTCGTCGCATGCCCAATATTTTGTGGCAAGTTACTCGCTGGTTTTGTCAGTCACTTGATAAGATAAAGCTCTGTGTTCTATGTGCACTGATTGCTGTTGTCCCTCAGAGATTTCATCAGAAACGCGTCCAGATAACAACATGAGCAACATATGCTGGTTACGTAGAACATTTATCATTATGTATAGCAAAGCTCAATCAAATCAGTCGAATTTGAACTTGAAAATGTTAAAAGCAATTTCTGATAGAACAAATATATTTTTTAAAGGGATTTTTAGGGCTCTTGGTCAATAAATCAGTCAGAGAGGGTAGAATACTTCGGATAAATATCCCCTGTATTAATTATAGTCGTGGAAATGTTTTAGAATTGACAAATTGTACTCGAACCTTTTCAGCTGCAGCAGTGTTTCTTCTTTTTGATTAGCCTTGACCTTTTTAAATGTGTTCAAAGGGCTACCCAATGCTGATAAGAGTTTGACTAATCATTCGCCAAATCAGTATTCTTATTGATTACCCTTCTGTGTTTTCTTAACTTGTTTTTTAATTATAGATCGTGATCGTAACTGATAGACTTAAGTGCGTAGTCCATAAAGATTTACTGTCCAGTCGCGCGATATTTTTGAAATCTCTCTTGTTTTTAATTTATAATAATTAAGCTTGTTTTTGTACCCTAGACTCATTGAAAATGTGTTAAGTGTGTATGATGGTTTTGACAAAATGTATGTAACAGGCAGAAGGAAGCATCTCCGACTACATCAAGTATACGTGGATCGCAGAACCTATAAGACATGCAATTTTGAACCTAGGTCCTCTTTGTTTTCTATAATCGGATAACTTGCCCCGTTTCCAAGCAAACGATACAAATCGATATTTAAATACTGTTGGTTTTTTTAAATTATTTTTAAAAAAGGGTTGCAATTGGGATTGTATTGTTTTCTGTGCTGTGTATGTGCGGGTATCTAGCAGGGTATCTCCAAGCTGGGCACTCCCGAGTAAAGCGATCTTACTTGTTTAGTTAGTGTCTTGGGCTAAATATAATAGCACGCGTGCTGCCCCTAACTCTAATCTGTAGACCTGTGAAGCCTTCCGAGAATTTATGGGCTCCCAAAGCCGTACGATAGATGGCCCGTGATTTACAGCATGACTGGCCAGAGCCGATAAGAATGTTTGCCTTTGACCATGTATAGCGATGGTATAAAAGCAATGTGGACCGAGTGCTGCTCAGTTTAGTAATTACTAACAAAATGAACCGATTGATTGTGAGTTTCGTTGTGGTGTTGGCGTGCATCGCCGCCTCCCAGGGCCTGCCGGACACGGAGTTTCCCTTTGGCCGCATCGTGAATGGCGAGCCAACGACAATCGAGGCTCATCCCTATCAGGTCTCCATTCAGACCACCAAAGGCTCCCATTTCTGCGGCGGCAGTCTGATCGATTCGGACACCGTTGTCACTGCTGCCCACTGCATGCAGTCCTATAAGGCCTCCGAGATCCAGGTGCGTCTGGGCGCCACCGAGCGCAACGAGGGCGGCGAGGTCGTCAGCGTTAAGTCATTCAAATTCCACGAGGGCTACAACAGCAAACTCATGATTAACGATGTGGCTGTGATCAAGCTAAGCTCCCCTGTCCGCCAGACGGCCAAGCTGCGCGCCATTGAGCTGGCCAAGGTCACACCTCCATCCGGAACACCTGCCGTTGTTACCGGCTGGGGCACCACCTGTTTCCTGTTCTGCTCATCACCCAATACCCTGCAGCAAGTGGAGGTCGATCTGCTGTCAGTCACTGACTGCGGCTCTGACACTTATTCCTACGGTCAGGACAAGATTCTGGACACAATGGTCTGTGCCTATACCGAGAAGAAGGATGCCTGCCAGGGTGACTCTGGCGGCCCACTGGTCGCCAATGGTGAGCTGGTCGGTATTGTGTCCTGGGGCAATGGCTGCGCCATGACTGACTATCCTGGTGTCTATGCTGATGTTGCTTCTCTCAGACAATGGATTGAGAACACTGCCGCGGAATTGTAAAACTTTTTAATAAAATTATCAAAATCTGATAAATTCATATGATATTATAAATATTATATTGCTGCAAGTTTTATTTTTCTCCCAATATTTGGGAATAATTAATAATAATTTTTATGAGTAATGAATTCCGATTAAGATCAGTATTTTACTTGTGAGCCTTGTCTGCATAGATTTTAACTCTCACATCATTTCAAATTTCCAACGAAATTTAGATCGAAAAGATCCTGGGATTCTAAGTATAAAGCTTATGATCCATCCAACTTCCTATTTGCCAATTTCTATATATATGCAACCTGTAATCAGATACATAACGATCAATATAGTTCGATATAGCTTCTATTGCATGAATCAATCAAATACTTTCCTTTTGTATGCAACTTTTTTTTAAATACCCTTTTAAAGATATATTTTCCTTTATTCTATCAATATCTGTTTTTGAGAAGATGTGCCTGAAAATAGAAAAAGTCATCATATTGGCTAAATGTCCACGACGTTAATACATTTTCTCCTCCACGATAACTTCTTCCCCAGCTCACATATGCCTTACCCCAAAATAAACCTGAACTAATATTAATATTTATTACAAGAAATATTTGTCGTATTTTTTATTAAGCCACAACCTGAGATACTGGTAATGGGTTTTAATCCACTTGGCCCAATGTCAATCTGTGAACATTATCATGCCATCAGTTAGCCACATGATAGCACCCAAGGCATAACACAACTTGTCTATAACTTGCTCATTTATTAACATCTAATAGACTCACAGACCCACAGCTCAGCCACAAAACAAGCCACTTGAAACCAGCTGAAAATATGCAAAGAATTATTAGAAGTGAGTGTAGAACTTTTGACGAGGATGAGCAGGACGACAACGACGACAAGTTGACTAACTGCCTGCCTAGGTTTGGGGTCGAGACCCCAGACTACAACATTATCCCCTATGTGCGTGTGTGTGAGTGTGGGTGTGGTAGTGCGTGTGTGTGTCTTGTGTGGCATAAGAAATTTTGTGTGTTGGCACAACGGCTTGAGTTTGCCATAATACGGAGTGTATCCTGCAGATACATCGAGTTCTTGTCGACTCGGTTTAAGTTTTTGGTTTGGTTTTTGCTTCGGCTATGCGCCTGGGCATATGTAAAACTTTTAGCAAACATGACAGCACACCCGAATAATATCGCATGCCATAAATTACACTTAAGTATTTAACAGCTTTATAGAAAACAACAAACAGTCACGCCCACAAACCGGCGTCTAGCAAGCAATAAAACAGTCGAGGCGGAGACAAAGACTACGACTGTGACTGCGATTGCTAACCGGATCCGGCGTCGCAGTCGGAGCTGTGCGTGTGTGTCTGGCAAAGTCGAGACTAAATGTTATCTTTTATCTAAAAACATTTTTAATCAAAATTCCGTTTGGGTGTTACCCAACTAATCTCAGCTGTCGTTGCTCAGGGAGCGGTCCAATGAAAAAGCCAAAGTAAATAATGAAAGGATTGTAGGAGAAATTCATTTCCCATTGGGAAACAGTTCAAAAAAGCTCAATAAAGCGTTATGTTATTTATTATGTTACCTATTAATTGAAATTCAAATTATTTAACTTTTTTTGTTCAACAACAATATGATTCTGTTGTGAAATCATTTTACATGAAAAGCCTTTAAGGGAATGCCCAAATCATAAAAGTTGAAGTTGGAAACTTACCTAGTCAAAGACTTATTTATTTTTGTTTGTAGATAATTTTATTTAGTTTAGAAATGTGTAACGCATAGGAGGAGGCAAGTCCGACCCCGAAATTCAAATTCTGCCTCAGCCAACAAATTTCTTTGAATTTTGTGTGTTCCATATTAAAACTATTAAATATGATATTTTCCTTTTTTCTATCGAATGTACATATCAAAAGTGTTGACTAAACTCAAAAAAAAACTTTGATTTTTTACCCACAAGTGTACACGACACTTTATAAAATCCAAACGTAATCAAAATCAATCAAGAGAAATATAAACAAGTTTCATAGATTTTGATGAATATTAAATAAAAGTCAATAAATGCGATTGTACACAATATTTTACAAACAGTTATCAATTTCCCATTTATGCAGTGCAGTATATATTACTAAAAAAAAAAATGGGGAAAAAATCAAACACTACAAATTCCTGGAGCCATTCGGCCGAGCTTCAGCTTGTGGCTGAATAGTTTGTATAGTAATCAACTCCCTGAAATGCTTTTCGGCACACAGCCGCCGCATCGGCGAGATTTAGTATCATATTTGCCCTAACAACCAACTACGAAAAAAAAAATATGCTAGAAATGTGGAATATTTTTGCCCGGCTCAAATGGACAGCAATTGACCCGGCAACATGATGGCAACAACAATGCGAATTCTGTCCCCTACCCTCTACCCTCAGCCTCTTCACCTGGCAACCAAAATGATTTCCAATGTTTAAGCAACACGCTCGAGAGGTGCCACACAGGTCGGAATACAGCAGAGGCAGCATTGACATCGTCGTTCAGGCAGGTGTAAAATTATATGCCAGACGCGTGGCATAGCAGAAATAGCTGATGTGCTGCATGAATATCCGTTACAGGGTCGCCGAAACAGAAACAGGTGCACACCCGGCAGTGTACCCAGGGCGGATAGTCATGACAATTACTTTAATTTCAAAAGATAACCATTTTAATTATAGCATTTTACGCTATATTACTTGAAATGTTCAGATTGATATAGGCAAATACATTTGCCAAAATTATCAACTGACGAAAATTATTAGTTCTGTGAATATTAAATTTGTCAAGCTTATATTCTTAAACATTTTACACTAGGTTTCATTATCAACATTAAATGATCTTTCCTTGTAATTTATGTATTTGGAGTTTTTATTGTAATATATATTATATTATCAGAACTCCTTGTTAAATACATTTTTTCCTTTTATTATTTGACAAAAAGTATTTTTTCAATTTTTTTAGTATATAAATAATAATTTGAATGATACTGCAATCGTAAAATATTCGATTGAGCATTATACAAAGCCTTTTTATACATCATATTTGGAAATTCTAGATTCCGATTTTCAATATTAAAATGTTTTGCGAGGGAAGCGAAAAGTGTACATGCAGGTAAACTTTCAACGCGTTTGCTTGTCTCCAGCTCTTCCACAATGCATTTACATTAACTCAAATTTAAGCAGGGGGCAATGATAATGGGACTGGAGGCTGTTTCTGGTTGTTGGCTGAAGGAACAGTCCTGTAGTGGACGGTGAATTCTTGCCGTGTTGCCAACCACTGGCAGGCGGCGTTATTATGAGTGCATTTTAAGTGTAAACCTCTCTCATATGTTTATGACATAATGACAGCCGACTTTTCCGCACAGTCCATGCACACATTACACATACGCCATGTAGCCATCAATTTCAGAAGGTGGGACATGTCAGCACTGGGAGCTGGTGGGGGCATCCACTGGTAAACTGAGGCACTGTCTGACAGTTATGACTGGGATTCAAATGTAATCAACAATTTTTAACTCGCTTTAACTTTGCCCCAGCTTGAACTTCATATCCGAACAGGTTTAATATCTCAATCTTCTGGCTGCGCTGCAATCAACTGTCAGATTTTGGGTTAGTCGCATAAAAATTCAGTCACTGGCGAAGGATGAAAATCACTTGATGCCAGCCTTGCTCCATTATTTTTTTATTTTTTTTTTTGCATAATATAATAATAATTTATGCCTGTCTGGCTGGTAATATTTGGGTCTGACCGAGTGGCAACTCAAGTGGGGAACTGTGTCAATTTTATGAATGGATGTGTGTATGTGTGTGTGTGTGTGTAAGGGTATGAGTATGTAAGTGTGTAAGCTTGGGTTGCGTGGGTTGTTTTAAAAATTCATAAAAGTTCTCAGTGGATGTTAAATATCATTTATATGGCGGGGAAAATGTAACAGCACATGGACTCTGAAGCTGAGGTTGAAAATGAGATAGATTCCTAACCAAATATGTTTTATTTGCTTACATAAACTTTTAACCTAAACTTAAACGTAATTAAATCAATATAAAAGTTTTGAAAAATATTTTACTATATACAATTAATTTTATAATAATTATGTAATTTTAACAGAGCATCCCAGTTATAAGATAAATTTTAAAAATACTTTATAAGTGTTTCAGCAAATGAAACAGGGCGTTAACTCAAAGTTCTGAGTTTTGTTAAAGTGCACTCGAAAAAAATCTGTGTGCTTGTTAGTGTTCATCAATCATATTTAAATCAATTAAGTCATTGATGTGCTAAAGCCTGGGCTTGTTGCAGTTTCGAATTGCAAGCCAAATAAATTAAGCTGAGAGAATCAACGGAATTAACCAAACATATATTTAATTAATTATTGCTATGTATTGCTGTAACGCCCACTTACCCACACACACATAGACACTCACACATACATGTGCAGCCAATCATAACCATTAAAAAGTTATTCAAGTGCATGTTAAACTTTGTAAAAAATATACTAATGAAAAATGGTATTAAATATTTGTAGAAATTTGAGTACCTCAAGTAGGTAGCACACAAATATTTAACTAATTTTGTATTTTTTTTTCGTCTCTTCGAAATAAGTCGATTGCGAAATTAAACAGCTGATGTAATTATGAACTAGTGTATGAGAAACTTAATTTACTTCAAGAATAAAAAATAAATAAACAAGACCCAGAAAAGTTGTTGGTGATAGATGGATAGAAAGGGAGGCATGATCTCGAGAGATCGGTGAACAAGCTATATTGGAACACAATGAAATAATAAATGAACATAAAACCAATTCAGATATCTATATACATCCTACAATATTAAAACTCACTGTTGGCCATATTAAATAATTAATTTCTTACCTAAAGTAGACTTGTCCTTAACAGAGATTATGCTTTAATTTAGAACCATTCAAAAAATAATATTGAAAAAAAAGTTGTAAGTGTTTTTATCATCCTTTCGCTAAACATTTTTGATGAGTATCGAAATTCCAAGCGAGATGCTGTTAGCTGAAAGAGAATACTTAGCTATATAAACATT